TGGGATCCGAACCCTCGGTGGGAGAACTGCCGCACTCCCAAGTGCTGCACTCAACCAAGTGTGCCACCGGGCTAGCCCTGAAAGCTTTTCCTTTAAGAACAGGAACTAGGCAAGGATGCCCACTCTCACCACTCCTATTCAACATAGTTTTGGAAGTACTAGCCAGAGCAATCAGAGAAGAGAAGGAAATAAAGGGCATCCAGATTGGAAAAGATGAAGTCAAACTGTCACTGTTTGCAGATGACATGATCCTATATACCGAACAGCCTAAAACCTCTACAAAAAAAAACTGTTGGAGTTGATAAATGATTTCAGCACAGTAGCAGGATACAAAATCAACACACAAAAATCAGTAGCATTTCTATTCTCCAATAGTGAACATGCAGAAAGGGAAATCAAGAAAGCCTGCCCATTTATAATAGCCACCATAAAAATAAAATACTTAGGAATTTAGTTATTCAGATGGATCAGTCATAATATCACCTTTTTCATTTCTAATTTTTGTTATTTGAATCTTCTTAGAGAGGATACAAGAAGATGGAAAGATATCCCATGTTCTTGGATTGGAAGAATCAACATAGTGAAAATGGCCATACTACCCAAAGTGATATACAAATTCAATGCAATCCCCATCAAAATTCCAATAACATTTTTCTCAGAAATGGAAAGAACTATCCAGACATTTATGTGGAATAACAGAAGACCATGCATAGCCAAAGCAATGCTGAGGAAAAAAAATTAAGCTGGAGGCATAACACTACCTGACTTTAAACTATACTACAAAGCTATAATAACCAAAACAGTATGGTACTGGCATAAAAACAGACACACTGATCAATGGAATAGAATAGAGAATCCAGAAATCAACCCACACACTTACTGCCATCTGATCTTTGACAAAGGCACCAAGCCTATACACTGGGGAAGAGACTGTCTCTTTAGCAAATGGTGCTGCCAAAAAAAGAAATCAATATGCAGGAGAATGAAACTAGACCCATACCTTTCACCATACACTAAAGTCAACTCAAAATGGATTAAAGAATTAAATATACACCGTGAAACAATAAAACTTCTTAAAGAAAACATAGGAGAAACACTTCTGGAAATAGGACTGGACACAGACTTCACGAATACAACCCCAAAAGCATGGGCAACCAAAGGAAAAATAAACAAGTGGGATTATATCAAAGTTGGTTTCATTCTGAGGTCTCTCTCCTCAGCTTGTAGATGACTGTCATGTCCCTGTGTCTTCCCATGGTCTTCCCTGTGTGTGTGTCTGTGTCTTAATCTCTTCTTCTTATAAGGACAACAGTCATATTGGATTAGGGCCCACCCTCACTACCTCATCTTAACTTAATTACTGCTTTAATGACCCTAACTCCAAATACATCACGTTCTGAGGTACTGGGGGGGGGAAGGCCATCAACATAAGGAGTTTGGGGGACACAAGTCAGCCCATAATGATTATCAAAGCAAACATCCATAAAACTAGTACTTACATCAAGAAACAGAACACTGCCAACATCCCAGAGGCCCTCTTTAGCCAGCAGGTAGTTTGAAAACTTTTCAAGAGCTAGACGCTCCTGTTACCGTGATGATTATCATAGTTCCTGGTACTTAGTAGGCCCTCAATAAATGTCTCTTGCATAAGTGAGTAATTTATTATTTATTTAATATGTACTTATGTAATACTTTCCATCTCCAAGGATTCCAACTAACTTGAAGTTAGATGCAGCTATGCATTTGCTTTGGACAATGAAATGTGAGAAGTGACATGTGTCCTTTCCAGGAGGGACCATTCAGAGCCAGTGAACAATTTACTGGGTTGTGTTTGTTCAGCTGAGGGGCCAATGGGGGCAGATGTGGAGATGGAGGTCTATCAGCCTGGTTCCCTGAGTAACTATGATGAGCAGAGCTCCCACTCTGACTAACATTGGACGTGTAGCATGAGCAAAACCTAGATATTGAGGTATTTGTCACTTCAGCACAGCCTATCCTACTCTTACTATGCAAAAGGCATAGAAAGAAAGGTGCTTAACGAGGCTTCGTAGAAGCAGAGAGCTGGGAGAATTAGAAGAACATTTCATCACACAGGCCAAAAGAGCAGGCATTTCAGGAAGGAGGAAATAGTCAATAGTGCTAGTTCATAAGGTGTTAACTTAGATAAATATCCACTGGGCCTGGTATTAAATGGTTATTGGAGCCACTTTAAAGAGCACCTTCACACACTGTGTCCAACTCCTATCTCCTTCAATTTTTATCGTCCTGTTGCTGGACCTCACTCTATCTGGAGGTTCACAGCACATGGGCAATGGAGAGTTGGAGAGGGTGAAATGACTTCTCCTTAGGGTACCTCTTGAAATCTCATGGATTCTCATCTGGGGCAAGAGCATCTTTTGGATAGACCACCTTTTCTTTAGGGGCCTATTAGGGACAGAAAATAAGGGAGAAAGTGTAAAGGGATTGAGGATACAACACTAAATTCGGAGTCTTAACCCTGCTGTTTGTCCTACTGCAGGTGACAACCTTTCTGTGTCAGGAGAGGACATAAGGGAGTCTCCAGCTTCAGGTTTACTTTAAAGCTTAAATCCCAGCTTTCCTTTGAATCTCTGCTCCTCAAAACAGTCATTGGACTGATGTACCCAAAGACTTCTGTAATTCCTGCCAATCTTTGATCCTACTCACACTTAGCACTCAGCAAAGGGCCTGACACATACAAAGTACTCAATAAATGTTAATAATTTAAGTTTGGCAATAAGGTGGCCCCCACGCTGGATAGTGTCCATGCCCCAGTCTCCTCTGGGACCTCTCCCTGTACTGCATTCTTCCTGAGAAATCCCAGAGACCAGCAAGTACCTGTGTATGTCAGAGCTGGACGCATCTGATGCCTTCTTTGTGTGACTCTAGAGCCTTTTTCCATCTCTTTATACTCTCAGCTCTCTAGGAGCACATATCCTGGACTTGTAATGTGGGTGCAGAAACCACAGTTTCTGATCCTGCCAGGAAGTAGATCCAGAGAATGTTCACTTTGCCCTGGGTACTGCCCTGGCCTAGCATGGGGTAGAGAGGACAAGGATGGTTGGGGAAGACTCTGGTTGGATATGGTTTGTAATATTCAGTGCTTGAAGGCTCTAAGGGTGAGATTTATGTACTCTGGATCTGGGGATTTAGTAGTGATCTAGATTTTAAGACTTTCCAGAATTCTCATGATCCCTTTTCATCTTTGAATGGCTAGATTATAATCATATTAATTTTCTGTTGCATGGGTTTCATACAGAAGTTGGCAACCTCTGAAACCAAAAGTGAACATGAGAGAGATAAAGGTTCTTCATTTATCTACTTTACACTGACTGTCCTTGTCACCTCACTGTGTAACAGCTGAAATTACTACACCAAACAAAGCAGCATCATTTTCACTTATAGATTTAGAGGAAACAATGCTGAACAGGGATAAAGGTGTTGTAACTGGGCAAGGGCTGTGTCTCTCTACAAATTATCTCAGGTTAAGTAATGGAAAGAACAGAGTTTTGGAGAAATCTAAATTTTCTTTGTGTCTCTGCCATGTGATAGTTGTGTGATTTCATCACCAAGGCTCAGTTTCCACATTTTAAAAAGAAAATTAAACTGTGTCCTATTCCCTGGGTTAGGAGGATTAAATGAAGCATTTAGCAGATTATGTGGGACATGATTGTCTTTGTCTGTGGCTTCTCTTTACTGACTCCCTCACTCAATCCTCTCTGCAGAACTCAGCTGTATTTACTTCTGTGTTGGTGACGCCCAAATCCGCACCTTCAGCCCCGAACTGTCTTTGAAATGGGGGAAGCTGGTCCCCAGATGCAGGGCATTATTTGGGAGGGGAGCTGTGTGGGAGTAGCACAGTAGCTTGTGGGAAATGACCAGGGACAGGTGCCCAGGGGCACAAGAGGCCCAGAAACTGTTTGTAAGGAGCCAGGGAGAGGGAATTAACCCACTGGGTGTGTCAGAGAGCTGCTGAGGGCTCATTTTGTGTATCAGGAGGTAGTAATCTATACTCCTTACAAAATGGAAAATGTAGACTAAACATGTCCTCTATCTTGACTTAAAAATAATTTAATATGAAACACAAAACCCACAATCATTTTTTTGTAAAATTTTTTATCCTTTTTGTCTTTTTTCGTGACCAGCAACGGATCGCAACCCTCAGTGTCGCGCCCGTACCAGACCGGGACCGGCCACGGGATCGCAACCCTCGGTGTTGCTCCCGCCCCTCGCTCAGCCAGTGAGTGGCCGGTCTGTACGTGGGATCCGAACCCTCGGCGGGAGCGCCGCCACGCTTCCCAAGCGGCACACTATAGCAGTGCGCCACCGGGCTGGCCCAAAACCCACCATCATTTTGGATTGTTAAAAAAAAGGCCTGTGTTTGAAAAAGAGTGCTACACATATTGCTTTGTTCTTTTAACAACGGGGATGCATTTCCCACTGTGTGAATTATTAGAACAGGAGGTCTGGGTGGACTGATTAATACAGAGTTAGAAGATAAGTCTTGATCTTCTACTTGATGCATTCAAAAGGCTAATCCATATTTGGTTAAGGAGTTTTTATGATGGTATTCAAATAAAATGTTTAAAGTTTATTAGATTACATGTATAATTTTAAATTCTGATCTTAATTTAATTTCTAATGGTAATGGCAATATATGCTCTTAATAAGTTTTATGTTGAATTAGTGCAATGTGAATATGGGTCATATAATCCAGATTCACAGTCTGCTCACCATTGAATAACTAAGAATAATGGTCCCATATCTAAAAGGATAAAGGTACCAAACATGATTATGGGGCAGCTCAATGAAATACAGAAATTCAGAAGAGGTCCACATCCAACTGGCCACCTTATACATAGTTGGGATATCCACATTTTCCTGTTTTTCTTCTTGCCTAAGTGTAAATAACAATGAATTTCTCTATTAACTCCTGTTTACCAAATTCTCAAACAAAAGCAAAAGCAGAGATGACTTGTGCATATTCTTAAAAGAAAACAAACAATAACTTTTTTATTTTGATTACTTTAAATTTTGATTATTTATGGAACCAGGAGAAGGGAACTTGGTTGGAGGGTCCATGAGAGCTGCATTGAATCAAAGAGCAGAAAGTGGTTTCAAAGCAATTACTTGGCAGCAACATTCTCTTGGAAAGCTGGGGGTATGTCTCAGAACCAGCCTCTGGGACTAAAGAAACACAGAAAAATAATGTTTCGAAGGCACATATAGTCCTGTAGGTCAGATCAGGAACCCTGTGGGGGTAAAGAAAAAGTTACCCCAGGTTGCCAATCTTTCTTCCTTTAAGTCCCAAGAGAGATAAATTACAATGAGAGACTGAGGCTTTGCCTGATATAAAAAAGAGTTTATTGTGGCTTCTTCGGTTGGAAAAAATAATGCTCTTTCCCCACACTCACCCAAGGACTGAGGTTGAAAGAAACATTCAGGCCTGAGACTCTCTTCCTAGCAGGTGCCTCAGAGTCACAATGATATAAAAAAACTTACATCTTTCTACAATCCACCCTCTCAAGAAAATTGAAGCAGGAATATTACCTGTTTATAAAGATCCTCGTTGAACTGAAATGAAAGAAGGAAAGGGAACATATTCCCCATTAAAAACATCTTAGACAATTACACAAATTTCCCACCCCATCTTCCATTGCCCTGATGCTACCATACGGAATTAGGACAGGGGCTGGTTGGAGACTAACCCATCACTGAATGAATGCCCAGCACGAGCCTGAATACCTGGAAACCTCAGGCATCTGGTCATATTAAGATCCCAGCCTGGGGATTCCTCTCTCCCCAGAGGCCATCTTTTCTCCCCGACAATCTGATTTGGGTGAACTACAGAACTCTCCAGAATTGTTTTTATGTTTTGGCCCCTTATCATGAAAGATGTATGAGTAAGTCTGGGGAAAGTCTCAGTCACCTCGCAGACTTTCTTACCTTTCTTGCTCCTCATATGCATGAAGATGCTTGCTACAAAGAATATGAGCCCCAGCACAAAGCCCCCGACTCCAGTCAGCATCTTGCTCCAGGCAGAATCAGACTGTGCCTCTGGGAAGAACAGACCCAGGGTCAGTCTCACCTCCACCAGCTGCACCCCTCCTCAGGTCCTGTCTGAGATCCTGGAGCCTGATGTAGAATATTGGTATGAGGACAGTGGTGGGGATACACCTGGTAGAAGGAGGAAATTTAGAAAGACCCCCCCCCAAAAAAATCCACCCCCTCAATTCTGGAGCTTAGGGTGTGACCCCAGCAAGAAGAAATTGCTGATTCTGCCAGTGCCCTCTCAAAATAACTCAGAAGAGGCTAAAAGCCTGAAGGAAGAGAACAGTTCCCATTTGTGAGGGCAGTTAAGGAAGGTGTCTGATTCTCTAGATTCTCTGACAAGGGGAAAGATTCTGAATCCTCAAGATCTCCTAGGCCAGGGACAGGCAAGTCTTCATTACCTCTGGATTAGGACTATATTCATGGGCTTGTAGAGAGGAAAGATAGGGGTAGATATGGCCCGATTGTATGGACACTTAAGAAAAGGTGAGTGGACCTCAGAGCCAGAGCATCCCCTGCTCTTCAGAAGGTGGGGTCTAGAAGGGTCATCAGCGAACAACTCACTCCAGTCCACAGTGACAGGACTGTCCAGGCTTGGGTGCTCCACTTGGCAGGTGTAGACATCTCCCTGCTGGGGGGTCATTTCCAGCATCACCAGGATCTGGAAGGTCCAGTCTCCATTACGGATCAGTTCGGTGGACACAACCCCAGATGTTTCCTCCTGTGCATTCAGGAGCCATCGGACTTGAATGTTGCCTGGATAGAAATCTGTCACATGGCAGACAAGCAGGTTGTGGTGCTGCAGAGGACCCTTCTTGGAGGGAGAGACGTTCACTCTAGGTGGGACTAAAAATAAATGGAATAGCACTTGTAATTATTATTTCTTAGACATGTACATTATGTAATTGATTCCTAGGTGTTTAAAAAACAAATAAAGTAATTAGGCTAGTGGATAAGGGTGGTACTGAAAAGACAGAAATACACCTTCAAAGAGAATATGCATTATCTTGAATTAAATAATAAGTTTTGAGTAGAATAGGAGAGAGACAAGGGCAGCACCTTGCAGCACATTTAGGAGAAATTTTACTATAAGCAATTGATTAATACCCTTTGGACAAAGAATATTTAATCGGCCATGAAACTACCTGTCTTTCCAACACTCTGTCTTGGTGCAAAAGATGCAAAATTCACTCAAATAATTTCTTGAAATTAAGATGTACAGACAATGGCATTCTCTTGGATTATTAAGACAATAATTTTCCTGTACCTCTGCATCTCTCTATTTGTTGTCCCTCCTTTCCTTGATCCTCTGCTGCTTGTAGGTCAATTTCCATGCCTGCAGTTTCTTATTCTGGATCTCTGCCTCCAGTACCCTGCTCCTCTACAGAGGGCAGAAAGACCCAGTGCCCCTGGAGAAGAGCCCATTCAGAGGAATTTCCCCAATCACAGTCTAGGTCCTTAATAACTTAGTTCTTTCCTTTCTACTTCCTACTTCCCAGAGAACACAAATGCCCGGAGGAGGGGCTGGGTAAGGTAAAGGTACAGTCTTGAACTATACCCACACTCTTTACTGCCTATATTTTGCCTTCATGAATCCGAAGTGCCAGCCTTTTCCCCTCAAGGTGATTTTACTTCAAAGGCACCTTGTGTCTCACTCTACTTCAACCACCTTTCTGAACTCACAGTCCATCAGACCGTTTCACCCAGGCCTGAATCCCAATTGTAGATTATGCTCAATTTCTTTTCCACAGGGCTCCTGGGCACCATAGAAATTAGGAAGTGTACTTGGTTGTCTGTTTTAAGGTCCCAGAACATTCCATGACAGGCACTTTGCTCAACATTCTTTGACGGGAGGCTGCTCAGCTTGGGCTGCATGACAGACCTGTAGGGGGCGCTGGAGCTAGGGCTAGTACCAAGTGGTCTCATTTGTTTTTCATATTCATTTTGGCGGCTGGTCGGCACCAGGATCATAACTCCTGACCCTGGTGTTACCAGCACTGCGCTCTAACCAATTGAGCTAACCGGCCAGCCCCCCAAATGCTCTCATTTCTGACTCAGCTCCAATACATTCACAAAGGCAAAATTCTTGTTTATTCTAGTTGCCTAGTCAATTGCCCACAAAACATTTGTTCAATTACTTCTAGATTTAGTTGGGCATCATCGCTGGAATTGCCACAACTACCTTCCTCCCCTCTTCGCCTCTCTTCCCTGCTTCTCTGTGTTTTTTCCTATTTTAATTCACACCTTCATTACTGTTTCCCTAAACAATAATGACAATTTCTTACCTGACCTCCCTAACTCCAGTCCATCCTCTCCCCAACCCATTTCACACTCTTCTGAAAACACAGCTCTGACCTTGTCATTTTTATCTTAAAAAAATAAATTTGAGTGCCCTGCCAACACATCTGAAGACATGATCAGTCGGGAGCCAGATTTCTACACCTCACCACGCACGGAATCTGAATGTCTGGACAGTGATCCTGGGGAATCAGTGCTTTAAAGATCTCTAGGAGAGTCTTGTGAACAGAGTTAGGTTGCAGACCTGCTGGCTTAGAAGATAAAGCCAAACTCCTCAAGCTGGCGTCCAAGACTGTCTGCAACCTGGCAGCTGGTTACCATTAAAGAAAATGATGCCACGTAGCTCACTTCTGCCCCTACAAAGTCTTAATAACCCCCGAGTAACATCCACATCCAGTCGCCAGGACTGATAAACTCCTGAGGACTTGCCTCTCCATCCATCTTGCCTCATTTTGTGCACAGCCCAGCTCAGGTTCTCGCCTGGCTTCCCCGGACAAGCTCCCCCATCAATCCCCAACCGCAGAGTGCCCTTCCTGCCCCTCGCGACGGTCCTTTAGGTGGGCCCGGCGCCCCTGCTCCCTGGTCTGGCCCCCGCGGCTGCCCCGTGAGCCCCGGCCGCAGCCCTCACCTCGGCGCTGCACGGTGAGGCCCTCGACAGTCTCGTAGTTGTGTCTGCACATCGTGTCCACCGCGGCCCGCTTCTGCTCCAGGAGGTCCTTCTGCCCGTTCCAGTACTGGGCGTCCCGCCGCCCCAGCTCGGTCACCGCGCGGTACTCCCCCACGTCGCTGTCGAAGCGCGCGAACTCCTCCCGGTTATAGATGTATCTCTCCACGTAGCGCTGCGTCCCGTTGATCGCGTAGCAGTTCTGCCGTCCCTGGTAGACGTAATTCTCTGCGGGGAGCGGGGGCGGCGCTGAGCCGGGGGAGCCACGACCCCCACGAACCGCGGGACCCCGACACCCGCGGAGCACCCCGCAGGACCCCTCTGGGTCGAGCAGAGCTGCCGCGACGTCCCGCGTCCTCCCGCCTCCCTCCCGCGCCTTCGCTGCCAGCTCAGCGCTCCCGGGGACTCAAGCCCGGGACGCCCGCGGCCACCGCCCCGCCCCGCAGGGCCCCGTAGGACGGAGTAGCCGGGTACAGCAGAGGGCCTCTCTGGGTCGAGCAGAGCTGCCGCGACGTCCCGCGTCCTCCCGCCTCCCTCCCGCGCCTTCGCTGCCAGCTCAGCGCTCCCGGGGACTCAAGCCCGGGACGCCCCGTGGCCACCGCTCCGCCCCGCAGGGCCCCGTAGGACGGAGTAGCCGAGCTCCGTGTGCGCGGAGCTTCTCCTGCCCGGCCCCGCGTTCACGGACTGCCTCTGTCAGCTGTTGCCCAAATCTTCCCGCTCGGGGTCGGATTTTAAAATAGTGTTTTTTTTCCAATAGCGAGTGATGGGATCTTGGGCAGGCTGCAGACCCTCTCTAGACCTTAGTTTTCTCACCCATGAAAGGAGAGATATAAGGAGTAAATATACAATATATATGATCACTGCTAAGGGGTTATTCAGTGATTTTTAAAAAAGGGTGAGCATACTAAGGAGAAAGTAATCAATTTTTGCTGGCAGCTGGAGGAGGAGGAGATATTTCACGTGGGGACATAGGGAGCAACAGAATCTCACCAGAGGGGAACGTCCTGCAGAGAGAGAAGCCGCATGGGCAGGTGGAGCTGGGGAAATGGAGAGTAGGGCTATTCTCTTTGTCTGAACTCCCTGACCTGCCTCCTCTCCTAGTGCCTTTTGTCTCAGCTCCTGAATCCTCATCCCCCTCATCTCCTATTTAACTGCCGCTCTCTGAATGTGTATCCTGTAATTTTAATGTTAGTCCTTGTTTCTCCTTCCTATTTATCAAAAAGGGAACTTTTGTCAATCTAGAAAAATAATTTTGAAAATTTTCGGGAGAAACATTTAATTTAATGGAATTCAACTGTAATGTAGACATAAATGATGAGTGGGTTTTTTGTGCAATTTGAAACTTTCATTTTTTGTGTATGAGGAACGTTATACTGTTTGTGAAATTCTTGAAGCAACTTAGAATTACCCAGAACAGTTGGAAAACCACCGATTTAAGTGGTATCATCTCTTATTCAGAACAGGATACACTAAAAAACAAAAACAAAAAAATTGCAGGAAAGAAAAGTTCTTAAAATGTAAAAAAAGGAACATGTGATGGGTATGGGTTCTAGTCCAGGCTCTACGACTTATTGTCTATGTAATCTTGGGCAAGAAACAACCTTCCTAAGTCTCCATTTCTTGACAGGTAAAATAGTAGTAACACCATTTATCTTGAAGAATTGCTGTTGGAATTAAATAGGTTAACATATGTAAAATACATAGCACTGTATTTGGTACTGCTCAGTTCATGTTAGTCCCCTTCCCCTTTTCAATGTATGATCTCTTTTAATATTTGCAAAATTCTAAAGAAACTCATAGGACAGAGGGACCAGTTCAGCCCTTGGACTACTGGAGAATCTGAAGGGGAGGTTCCATGTGGACCATACCTTAGTGGTTGAAAAGTTTTTGTTGACTATTTGTGGACTGTATCTTCCCTCCTCTCTTTTATACTAGTGATTTTACTTGGGGGATAAAAACAGTAAATATGCAAAGACTCAAATGCACACTAAGCTTGTACAAGAAGAGCCCAGCTGTTATGGCAGGGAGGACTTGGAAGTGTGGCCCAAAGCCCCGGGGCAGAGGGTGTGGTGATGGGAAACTCAGCCACTAAAAAGCTCACTTCAAAAGTCTGTCTGAGCCCAAAAGATGTCGCCTTCATGAGTCTGTTTTCTTTGAGCCCCATCTGCTGCCTCACCCCTGCTCCCTAGGGGTTCTCAACCAAGCTTTTCTTCCCCCAGGCTGCTTTAAGCCAAACCTGCTCTCCTATGTCTTTTCTCTTCTGCTCTGTTTGAAGTTGGAGATCTGTGTGGAGTTGGAAGAGTTTGAAGGGAATTGTAGAATCTTCCCTGCTCACTCTACCCATATTGTCCTATGACTCCAGCAGGTTTTTGTTGAACATCTCTGTGCAGGGTGCTCTGGTAATCTACCCTCAGTTCCACTCACATGCCTACACATCCTCATCTCATTCCTCCTACAAATCTCAGTCTACCCATTGTACCTCCACTGCCTTCCCTCCTACCATCATATGCACCCCTCTGCTCTGTTCACTCCACCTCAGGTTTCTTTGACGACTCTTACCACTGCCCGTTATCCCACAGGACAGCTTTCCTACAGGATACTGGCAGTGTCTCCTCTCACTTTCTGCTGGTCATTATTCAGTGTCATCCAAACACACCCCCAGGCTCCTCTTTTCCCAGCCTCATCTCTCTCCAATTTCCAGGATTTTTAAGGCACAGTTCCCACAGCCAAGCTATCTTGCTAGTAAGTTCTCGGCAGCCCTCCATGACTGTCAGTGGCAAGTTCTCCCTCCCATCTCTGCAAATGGATCTGAAGAAATAGGAAAGGAGCCCTGGGGCTTGAGCGGCTGGATTCAGGGGACTCAAATACTATTACCCCTGGCAAATAAGGAAGTAAAATGAGGACAGTGTATCCTAGGTATATCCTAGGAGGGGTGCGGAAGGGTGTAAAAGAGGAAGAATCTATAAAAGGAAATGTAGCAGTTAGTGGAAAACTAACATAGCTGTTTTATAGACCTTACTCTCATGTTGTTGAGTATAAATTTGTATTAGAAAGTTAAGAAGCGTCCTGAGAGAGAAACTGGATTGTACAAGCCATAATATTACACTAGCCATAGGGAGGCATCACGAGGAAGAGATTTTTCCCTTAGTTACTCCTTCCTTGGCTGTCTAATAACCTACACTGAACTCTTTCCACATATCTACAATCCTACAAATCTCAATCCATCCTAATACTCTAATCAAGTTCTAGAAAGGTTGGAGAATTATCTTCAACAGTAATCTAGCCAGGGGCTGGAACTGTAGCCTATCCCACGCTTTCCTCCCATCTTGCCATCACTGTCCAAGGGGCACGGGTCCTACTCCACCCTGGAGATTGGAAGGTCCTCTTGCTGAGCACTGAATCAGCAGGGTGATCCTTGGAGCCTGGACACCCCCAGCCAAGGGCTGTCTGTCCAAGTTCCCTGAAGGTTGTGATGCAGATGTGAGGATGCTCAGGAGGCTGACCTTGCTGACCCCTCTCTGGAAACCTTGTCCCTACATAGTTAAGCCAGACATCTCAGCCCCATTTTCTACCATAAGCAATCACACCCTTGGCACCTCTCCCCTGCTCATTGTGCTTGTGTCCCTGGGAGACATAACAGGCTCACTGGATAGCAATGAGGAGGTGACCGTGATTCTCTAGCTGGAAAGGAAGGACACTGGGCCACGGCAGGAGCTCCCACAGCCTGTCTCAGAGTCTGGGCCCTTGAAGGGATAGGCCCCTAGGAATTGTTCACTGAGCCAGGCCCTCCAGAATTGCTGCTTTGCTCTTACCTGGAGTTGCTCTGCCCTGGACCATGGGATTGAGCAGCACCATCAGTAACACCATCAGAGCCACTGTCCAGGGGGCTTCAGAGACCTGCAGGACCATCATGAAGCTGGAAAAGGAAGGAAAAATGGAGAGAGTTGCAGTCAGGGAAAGAAGAACTCACTAAATGAAGCTCCCATCTGAAATATCAGAGATCATTAGTCAAATTAGTTTCCTATGTCCCCTGGGATTGGGTAGACCCTGAGAAATGCACCAATGAGCACTGAGCTTTATATGAGTCATGACTCACTGGGCAGACAATTAGTGTGAAAGGCCTGACAATTTGAAGTATATGATGCACTTAAGATGATAGATGGAGCACAGTGACATTCATTTTAACCAGTTGGGCAAGTGATGAGGTTTTGGGAGATTATGTATTTTCTTTGCTCTGAAGGTGATCTCAAATATTCTGCTGGCCCATCTATGGGGATTATTGTTCCCCTAACCCTGCCACAGCTCATACACCTCCAGGACATGGTCTGGGGTGGAGCAAATGCCATCTCAGTGTGTAAAAAGTCATTCAGTGGCATGATTTACAGAGATTAGAGTATCCATCCCAGAACTCAAAATGAATCCTGAAGTCTTGTCTCTGCCCTAGGGGTGTTTAGGATTATCACCCACATACATTTTCTTTCTGCCAGAGGTCTGTTAGTTCTTAGAGTTGCAGGGGACTCAGGGTAGCTCCATAGGGTCAGCAGGGCTCAGTCTAGAGCCCTTACACTGGGAGTATGGACATATCAGCTATACTAACAAGTAAGTATGCAACTTTAAGGACGTTAACTTTTTTGGACTTCAATTCTTTGTCTTCACTGTGGGGATGATATAACCTGCCTGTACAGCAGTGCTCTTAAGGCCAAATGAGATAAATAGATCTAAAATTACTTTGGAAAATTCAAGTCCATAGAAAATATAAATAGACCAGTAAAGGAGGGAGAAAATGAGAAAAATCATCAAAGTCCCTACCTCCTCCAAAGCATCTGATTCTGTTGTGTTTATAGTGAATATTTTAATAAACTTTCGAAGAGCTTTACTCCCTTTTTTACAGACTTGTAAATGTGATCCTATTGGACCACAAATTCTAAAACTGAAAATGTCAAACTGGCATAATTTCTTTATATAGACATTAAAGTGTAAATAAAATGCTAGCATATAAAATGGAAGAGAAGAAAGAATAATATAGCATAAGGTGTCTATTAGGAATGATGAGTTAGTATAGAATTGTGGAAAAAAGCTCAGGTTTTTTAGTAAAATTGGGTTTGACTCTTTTTGTCATTTAGCTGCTATAGATAATTACATACTTAACTCCTCAAAAATCTCAGGTGCTTTATTTTTGAAATGGACATTAAAAATACATACTATTAGGTTTGATGTGAGGATTAAATGAGATAATATTTGTGAAGCACTAGAAAAGCATATCTCATAAACTGATCTGTTAATACTTTATTATTATTTATGAAGGGCAGGGCTATCACAAAATAAGAAAAAATATCGATATAACATACTTTATTATTACATTAATATTAAATATTCTGTGATCTTTTCTATGAACACCAAAGAAATACTTCAAAATAAAAGTCTTTAAAATAAGAATAGAAAAATAATTCCTTAAATATGGTAAAGAGAATATAAAACAAAAATGAACATTACCTGTAATAGGAAAGCATTACAAAAATCCCTCTTAAAAACAAGACCATAATAAGGGTGCCCATTGTTACCACATGTAATGCTGTATTAGATATTCTTATATAAAAATGAAATAAAATGAGTAGTAATTTAAAGAGAAAAATATTATTTGCAGATGGCTTATATACCAGGAAAACTCAAATAATAGGAAATCTGTATAGTACAATAATTATCCAGAAATTTTACTAACAAAAGTAACCAGGAACTTCAGGCAAGTTAATTAAAACTTCTAAATGGAAACCATAAAATTTCTACATAAAAAATTAAATGAAAAGAAAGGTGGGTCTGAGAGAAAGATAAATTATATTTCTTGTTAGATAGTGCATGTATCCCTACATACCAGGAAAATATTTTCGTAAACTTGACAAAATAATTTTAAAAAATCATTTAGAAGAAAATAGTGGACAGAAACATCAAAGATAATCTGAATGTTTGGGGTGGGGGTGGGTATGGGAAATGGAGGAAGACTGACTCTATCACACAACAGAACATAGGATAAAATATTTGCTGTCAGAAGAATGTATGACTTGTCTTTTTAAGTCTCTCTCTCTAACTTTGAAAATGCACTATGAATTGGAGTCCCTTGCATGCTGTTTCCTGAAAATTCTCTCATCTCCTCCCCGGCCCCTTTCAGTATTCTCTTTACCCAGTAACAAAAGTGTCAGCTGTATTATTTCTCTGATTGGTTGAGCCTAGCCGTGATTCCTTTCTGCCCTTTTGGGCAATTCTTGGGTAATAGAGCCCACAATTTCAGAGCTATCGTCTGCCTCCTCCCTGCCCCAGTTCCTCATTATTGTTCCTGTGCTTACAGTCATCAGTTGTAGACCCTACAACGTGTGCCCTGAAGAGAAAATGTTCCAGACCAAAGATGTGATCCTGAGAGCCCTGTCCTTCACTTTCCTGCTGAGTCTCCAAGGAGCTGGGGCCATTAAGGGTGAGTGCTCAGGAGGATGTGAGAGAGTGGACAGGCTACCATGAATTGTAGTTGCTCTAGGAGTTAGAGAGTTTAGGGACTCATTGATCTACTTTCCTTGCTGTCGCCTTTCTCTCTTCTTCATTCTCTTGTGTGAGGTTCACCTTTTTCCCCCCCCTTTTTGTCTTTTTTCGTGACCGGCAACGGGATCGCAACCCTCGGTGTTGCTCCCGCACCTCGCTCAGCCAGTGAGCACCGGTCTGTATGTGGGATCCGAACCCTCGGCGGGAGCGCCACCGCGCTTCCCAAGCGGCGCACTGTAGCAGTGCGCCACCGGGCCGGCCCCACGGTTCACCTTTTTTCCCTCTTGCTCTAGTGATAATCATAGCAATAGCAGCCACAATTTAGTAGACTCCTATTTAGTTTCTTTCATCATTTACATCTCACAAGAACTTTCAAGGAAGATATTAGCACCCCCATTTCAAAGCTGGAAAAAACTGAAGCTCAAAAAGACTGATACATTTTCTAAGGTTAAAGAGTTAAAGAGCCAAGGTTTAAGTCCAGACCAGATTCTGATAATCATACTCTGCATTCCCCAGACTTCTACACACAATGACTTCTCCCCCTTTATTTATTTATTTGTAATTGACGGGTAAAATTGTATTTATTGTGTACAACATGGTTTTGAAATATATATAGATTGTGAAATGGTTAAATCTAGCTAACATATGCATTATCTCACATAGTTATCATTTTTGTGGTGCGAACACACAACATCTGCTCTTAACATTTTTCAAGAATACAATATATCATCATTAGCTATAGTCCCCATGCTGTGTAACAGCTCTCTTAAACTTATTTCTCCTATCTAATTTAATTTGTGTTTCTTGACCAACAACTCCCCAACTCCCTCTTCCCCTAACTCCCTTAGCCTCTGGTAACTACCATTCTACTGTCTACTTCTTTGAACTCAACTTTTAAAGGTTTTATACGATTGAGATCGTACAGTATATGTCTGTGTCTAGCTTATTTCACTTAATATAATGTCTTCCAGGTTCACCATATTGTCTCAAATGACAGGATTTAATTCTTTCTCTTTATGACTGAATAGCATTCTACTGTGTATATATATATACCACATTTTCTTTATCTATTCATCCATTGATGGACACTGTATTAGTAGTCCATTTTCTGTTACTTATAAAGAATACCTGAAACTAGGTAATGTGTAAAGAAAAGAGGTTAATTTCTTACAGTTTTGGAGGCTGGGAATTCCAGGGTCTAGGGGACACATCTGGTAAGGGTCTTCTTCTTGGTGGGGAGACTCTACAGAGCCCATGGTGATAAGTATCCCATGGTGAGGAGGGAGAAGAGCATTTCTTCAACATGCTCACTTGCTCTCCTTATAAAGCCACCAGTCCACACCCATGATAACCCATTAAACCATTAACGCATTATTCAATGAATAGATTAATCCACTCATGAAGGCATAGTATTCACAATTGAATCACCTGTTAAGGGCCCCATCTTCCAAATATCATAGTCTAATTTCCCACACTCTTAACACTGTTACAGCGGGGGCGAATGAAGCTTCAGTGAGTTTTGAGAAGACATTTAAACCATAGCAGACACTTAGTTTGATTCCATATCTTGGCTGTGTGAATATTGCTGCAATAAACACAGGAGTGTGTCACCTCTCCCCCAGGGTGACAGAGACACAAAAAGGATCACTCAAAGCACATTTCTTCTGAGCAGTGAGAAGCCCTGAAGGGGTTAATTTTCCAGGAACCCTCAAGAGAGGCATTCCTTGGAAAAATTAACACTGAACTCTGGTCTTCTTTCCGTATTTATTCTTTAGGCAGGAAAGTTACAGAAAAGGAACATAGGTAGTTACAAAAAGAACAGTAAGATAATTGTCATGGCAACAGTCATTAGGTTTAGTTGCACCAAGGACATCTGCCCTTGGAACCAGCAATTTTTCTGTGTTACAATTCTTTATCTACAACAGAGACTTTAGCCTGGGGAAAGTTTCCTGTCTTTTGCAAGCTTAATATTTTTATGTGTAATTTTAAAAAGTTAGGCTATACCTGAAATTACAGGGCTTTGGAAGCTAGGCCCTGTGAAATACATTTGCTTTATAAATGTTAGTATTCTCTACAGGAGTGCAGATATCTCTTTGATATACTGATTTCATTTCTTTTGGATATATGGGTATATACCCAGTAGTAGGATTGCTGGGCCGTACGGTCATTCTATTTTTAATTTTTTGAGAAACCTCTATACTGTTTTGCATAACAACTGTACTAATTTGCATTCCCACCAACAGTGTGTAAGGGTTCCCTTTTCTTCACATCCTCACCAGTGCTTGTTATCTTTTGTCTTTTTGATAATAACCATTCTGACTGGAGTGAGGAATTCTTGGTTGGTTTTATCTTACAAGGAAACTGTTTAACTATTTTTTCAGAGAAGAAAGGCAATTCAGACAGAGAGTTAGTAGACTGTGAACATTCAATCAGGTAAGTTTTACCATCCTTGGTATAGGCAATATCTTGCATTTTTAGCTTTTTATTAGCTCTTCCCAATGATTTTTTTTAAAAAGCAACTTTAGAATCCTGTTTACTCTTTGAGGCTTCTGAATGCCAGTTAGAATAACAATCCTATTCTCTCTCCCTAATTTGAGAGGCTTGGGATTCAAGTGCACTTCTTAGATGAATGGTTTTGTTATCTGGAACATTCCACATAATAGCCATTGTAATTCTGAATTACCTTTAGTAAGATTTTGCCACTTTTGTAAATATTTGCAGCTTCTGGGGCCAAAATTCTTATACATGAAAAAGGCAGGTGTACCAGAGGGCAGAGTGCCCAGATCTTTAGAAATTAGGGATCCCATTTTTAGGTTAGGTCTTGGGCCTCTCAGAGCTGAGATGGCTTTCATTCTGAGATCTCAGTACGTGAAAAGAAGAGAAATAGAGGCCTCCTGCAGTAATAACCACTTAGTGCAGGTGCCATCAGACTTTAAAAACCTCAGCTTTTTTGCCAGTGACTTGTCAGTTACCGCAAACCAAAAGGTCATGTTCACTGCCATAACGCAAACTAACCCTTGGTACCCCATGGTCAAGTGCTCTCTCAGCACAAACTAGCCCTTGGTACCCCCAAAGCCAAAGAGATTAGTATGCTCAAATGCACAAGAGAACAGAGCTCAGAACTGAGAGGGACTTAAACTTTCGGGGCTCCATGAGGGAGACAGAAGATCCCCCCTGCAAAAGAGCAGTTAGTGACACCTTTCCTGTGTTCCTCAGGGGTCTCAGGGGTGTCAGCAGTCTCCTTCATTGGTAGTCGGGACTGTCAGAGGACCAAATTACAACAAATTTAAAGATCTCAATTGGCTTTGTCACGATTCTAGAATTAGGCAACAGTTAATTCCATGAAACAGAATAAGTGTTCAAATGAGTTGAGCAGAGGAAGTTGGTTTCATAGAGCGGGCTGAAGAAAGGAGAAACAACAAAAAGTGGATTGGTTATTTTAAAGCTAATTCACTTGTAAGGCAGGAACAGGGAAACAGAACAATAGAGAAATAACTGATTAGTTAACATCAGGTTACTTCAGATTACTTTTTGTTGTAAGGATTAAAACAGAGGGAACTTCATTATCGTGTTGATTGAAGTTTGAATCTGGTCTGCTTGGAAAATTGGCTATTGTATTAGTCTGTTTCTGTTGCTTATAACAAAATACCTGGAAATAGGTAATCTGCAAAGAAACAATATTTTTTGCTTACAGTTTCAGAGGCTGGGAAATCTACAGTCCAGGGAACTCATCTGGTGATGTCACTCTACAGCAATGCAAGGTGTCACATGGTGGAGCAGAGAGAGAGAGAAAACCTTCTTAGTTGGCTCCTTTTAAAGCCTTAAGAATTATACCCATGACCACCATTAATCTATCAATTTATTACTCAGTGAATGGATCAGTCCATTCACTAAGAATAGTCGTCATTATTACTCAGTGAATGGATCAGTCCATTCACTAAGAATAGTCGTCAAAATCCAATCACCTCTTCAAGGCCCCACCTTTCAATTACCATAATAGGAATTCTCACCTTCCCAACAGTCGTAGTGGGGATCAAGCTTCTAATACATATAACATGGGGGACACAATTCAATCCTTATCAGCTATTATCTCTTCTCATTTCTCAGAAGGTGAGCTAACAACTTAGTTTCAGTTTGGTGACATGGAACTTTAGCACGGGTGACTCCATTTTGATTTTTAGTCTGGTCTGTTGGGGCATAGTGCAGGAGCTTATTCTAAAACAATGTCCTCTTGTAATTTTTATTTAACCAGTTTATACCAGATAAACCCTAAAGTAACCTTTCACTCTTATATATCTATTATTCTACACCCATAAATGCTCATATTTTCATTGCTTTAGTTAATGTTGATAGTTTCTTTTATTTTGTCCTTGCTACTTCTTCTTTTTATAAACTGATAGACTAAGAAAAAAGATAAATTAAATCCCACAAGTATTTCAAATTCAGCAACAACCTGTAGTTCCATTTATTTTTTTAATTTTTATTTTTTTATATTTTTTTGTTTTATATTAATGTTTTAATGGTTAATATTCCTGTGACTTTAAATAATTTAAAAATGGAATAATAAGTGCATTAAAACTCACAGGAAATTTTAAAGTCCCTGAAGTCTTTCCTTTTTATAAAAAAAATAAAAATGAAAAACATACATTCAGAACTAATGTTTAGAATCAATGCCAAAATAACTGTACTATACTTCTGAATTTAATATGTCTAAAATTAAAAATATTAGGAACAAAGCTATATATCCTGCACTTTCATGTTCATAAACTAAAACAGAAACTTAGAGACTGTAAGGAACACTAAAACTTGAAAGATGTTTTCTTCTCCTCCTCAATTTTCTATCTTTCTCTCTCTTTACTAAGAAAAATAAAATTCCTGCCCTCTCCCCATGACTCTAAAAATAATTTTATATCTGTGGTCCTAGAAGAATTGGGATCTTACAAAAAGAGAAAAATCTTTCTACTACTTCCACTGACAGCTACATGATCTTAACCAAGTTACTTAACCTCCATGCATTTCCTTACCTATAAAATAGCACATTATGTATTTGCATCAAAAGGTTATTGTGACAATTAAATGAGTAAAATATGTAAAGTATTTAGAATGATGCCTGGTGCATAGTAAATGCTAAACAAATGTTGTCACTGTTATTATTGGTATTTCTGTAGGGTCAGGATACCTAGACTTTCAAAGACTAGGAAGCACCTTGACTCTTCTCATATTGTTCCTCCCTCATTTCTTTTGATAACTGCTCTCATATGCTCTTCATTATCTCCTTTTTGGTGTTACTCCTTCTTATCCCAGTCCTTCCTTTGACCTCTTTACTTCTGCCTTTTTCTGTTCATAAATCTTTATTCATTCTCTGGTCTTCATCACTTGCATATTCATACTTACATTTTGTCATATCTTTCTCTACTTTCTTATGCAGCAGACCACGAGTTAAGCAATGCAGTGTTTGTACAGACGAATAGACCATCAGGAGAGTATATGTTTGAGTTTGATAAGGATGAGTTCTTCTACGTAGATCTGGACAAGAAGGAGACCGTCTGGCATCTGCCGGAGTTTGGCCGAGCCTTTGCCTTTGAGGCTCAGGGTGGGCTGGCCAACATCGCTATATTGAATAACAACTTGAATGTACTGATCCAGCGTTCCAACCACACCCAGGCCACCAATGGTACTGCCTATCTTTGCTTGTTCCTCTGAAGCCCAACTGGGAAGGGATGGGAGGGCCCCTCTGACCACTTAGAATGGGAGACCCAGAGCCCACTGCTGAGTGACCCTCTTTCCTGTAGTGGCATTGGGCTTATTCCAGTAGAGCTGAGGGCTTGCATCTTCCCTTCTCACTCAAGAGAAAGGTTGGGCTGAGTGAGGTTGATCAGTGCACTGAGACTCCTGGCTCTGATTCAGGAACCCAGAGATAGATGACACACCAAAGGTGGAGGCTTTGTAATCCATCCCAGAACAGGGGACTCACCAGGTCCTGTCTCCTCCCAGAGCCTCCTGAGGTGACTGTGTTTCCCAAGGAGCCTGTGGAGCTGGGCCAGCCCAACATGCTCATCTGCTTCATTGACAAGTTCTTCCCGCCTGTGCTCAATGTCACATGGTTGCGCAATGGGCAGCCGGTCACTGAAGGTGTTGCTGAGAGCCTCTTCCTGCCCAGAACAGATTATAGCTTCCGCAAGTTCCTCTACCTAACCTTCGTGCCCTCAGCTGAGGACGTCTATGACTGCAAAGTGGAGCACTGGGGCCTGGATGATCCTCTCCTCAAGCACTGGGGTATGGAGCCTTTTTTCCTCTCCATAAGCTCCCTGGCACCCTCTTCTCCCAGGATCTGCTGCCCTCTGCACCAGTTTTCCCTGCTTGCAAGGTCTCATTCCTCCCTATCCATCAAATGGTCTGTAACCTTCAGCCCCCACACATCCCAATTCAGCCCACCCCACACTGCACCTGCTGACCCATCTCTTCATTCCCCCCAGAAGCCCAGGAGCCTATCCTGGTGGCTGAGACGATGGAGACTGTGGTCTGCACCCTAGGCCTGGTGGTGGGCCTGGTGGGCATCGTTGCTGGCACCATCATCATCATAAAGGCTCTGCGTTCTGGTCATGACCCCCAGGCCCGGGGGCCTCTGTGAGTTACTCTGGAGGTGAGGGTCTTAGGATGTGGTCAGAGGAAAAGAGGAGGGAGCCTGGGATCTGTAGTGTATAAGGAGAGAAGGGAAAATTCAATTTGATAAGAGTGCATTGATTTCTCAGTGGGTTAAAGTCATGGAGCTGCATAACAACACTGATAATTTATTGAGTACTTGAATTCCCAGGCATTATTCTGATCTGAGCATTTACATTTATTAACTCATTTTATCCTCACAAGTGCTCTATGAGATAGGTCCTATTATTGCAACCACTTTACACATGAGAGATACTTATGTTTTATGTACACAGAGACATCAAGCAACTTGACCAAGGTCACACAGCTAGGAAGTAGAGGAGCCAGTGTTCAAACCCAGGAGGTCTGGATCCAAGACTGTTTGCTTAACACTGTCCTGTACTCTTATTTTATGAAGACGAAGACCAAGTCCAAACTCCCTAAGAGCCTGTAGTCTAGTAGTGGAGCCAGTGGACATTATCCATTTTTGCCAATTTCATGCACATAAAGGAATATGCTGTTTTAATTTGCATTTCTTTAATTGCCTGTATATAATTGGGACTATCTTCTATGTTTGTTAGCCACTTGGGGGTTTCTTTTCTGTAAATTGCTGGCTGACATCCTTTGCCCATTTTTGTATTGCAGGCTTCTATCTTTTTCCTATTGATTTGTAGGAGATCCTTGCATAGTCTTGCTAGTAGACCCTTGTCAGTTTTAGACAAAGGTTTTCTCCTAATCTGACTTCAGGCAATTTCCTATTTGGTTTCCTTTATTGAACAGAAATCCTTAATATTTTGTAATCAAATTCATCAATATTTTTATTTTATGCATTTGTTTTTGTGATTTTTTAAGAAAAGTCTTCCCTATATTGAGGTCTCAAAGATATCCTTTTAAAAATCTTCTATAGTTTTAAGTTTCACATTTAGTTCTTTAATTCCTCTAGAATCCACCTTTGTGTCTGATGAGGATCAAGTTTTATTTTTCTCCATATAGTGGGTCAGTTTTCCTAACAACTACTAAATTGGTCACCTTTTCCCCACAAGTTTGTGGTGCCTCTTTATAATAATGAAAGTTCCCATTACAGACGGGTCTGTTTCTGAGCTCTATTTTTTTTTCCAGTGTTCTGTCTCTTCTTGTGCCAGTATTCTAGTGTTTTGATTACTATGACATTTTTTGTATGTTAACATCTAGTAGGACAAATTCCCTCATTTCTTTTGTTTTCTTTGCTCACACACACTTATTAGGTTTATCAAGTGTCTCAAAAATTTTAACTGGAATTTTTATTGGGATAGTACTGAAATTATAGATTGGGGAGATTTAATATCTTTATAATATTAAATCATTTCATCTAAAAGTATGTAATACCTTTTAATTTATCAAAAAATTTTTTATGTCTCTTAATAGCATTCAAAATGTCTTCCATAGGGGCCTATGTATTCTTCATTCAGATGATTCTTAAGCACTTTATAGTATTTGTTACTATTAGTGGTATCAGATTCATAAAATTTTATTATTTCTGGCATAGAAAAATTTCTTGATTTTTAGAAGTTGTTCTTGTATCTAATGAACTTGCTGAAGTCTTGATAGTGCTAATAATTTGTTTGGTAATTCTGTTTCCCCTCCCAGGTTAATGATTCTCTCATCTCCAGATAATGACAGTTTTTTTCTCTTCTCTTCAAATTTTTATACCTCTTATTTCCTTTTCTTTTTTTAAAAAATAATTTGTTTTATTTAGTGAATCAAAATCGATTATACATATTTTTTGGGTTGAACATTGAGATATGTTGATTAAATCAGTATTACTAGCATATATATTGTTACAAATCGTAATTATTCTTTATGCCCCTTGTCCAATCTCTCCCCTTCCCCTATTCCCTTCCCCTCCCCCTCTAATTGCCTAGATTTCTTCTCTCCTTTTGAAAGAATAATGGTTACTCTGTTAACTTGTTGCCTAGATGATCTGTCCAATGCTGAGAGATGTGATCAGGTCCCCCAATATTATCATAGAGCAGATGCTTCTTCTGTCACTCTGAAATGGGCTTTGTGGAAAGAGATGTCTTCTTCTTTTCTTTGTCTCTGCTGGTGACTCTTCTTGTGTCAATGCACTCCAGTGACTGGGGGACCATCTGCGTGGTGGCTGTGGTGTCTAGCCGCTTTTGCAGCAGCCATGGTTATTGTGGTGGCTGTGGTGGGCCACCCACATTGGGTTGCTGTTTGTGGCATGCTCCTTGGCACTGGCGGTATGCCTGGTTGTGGGGTGTGTTTGGTCCCCTTCTCCTTGCCTCTGGTCCCTGGGCAGAGACCAAGGCACTGGCGCCATGTGCCTGGTTGTGGGAGAGGGGTCCAGTCCCCTTCTCCATGTCCTGGGTCCCTGGGTGGGTCCTGAGGTACAGGCGCAATGTGCTTGGTTGTGGGAGAGAGGTCCATTCCCCTTCTCCTTGCCTCGGGTCCTCGGGCAGAGCTCAAGATGCTGGCATGGTGTGCCTGGTGGTGGGAGGGTGGTCTGGTCCCCTTCTCCATGCCCCGGGACTGTGGGTGGGCCCTGAAGCACTGGCTTTTTGTGCCTGCTTGTGGGACAGAGGTCCAGTCCCCTTCTCCATGCCCCAAGTCCCTGGGTGGGCTCCGAGGTGCTGGCATGTTGTGCCTGGTTGTGGGAGGGTGGTCCGGTCTCCTTCTCCATGCACTGGGTCAATGGGTGGAGTCCAATGTGCTGGCATGGTGTGCCTGGTTGTGGGAGAAGGGTCCAGTCCCCTTCTCCATGCCTAAGGTCCCCGGGTGGGCCCTGAAGTGCTGGCTCAGTGTGTCTGGTTGTGGGAGAGAGGTCCAGTCCCCAACTCCATACCCCGGGTTCCTGGGTCGGCCCTGAGGTGCTGGCTCAGTGTGCCTGGTTGTGGGAGAGCGGTCCAGTCCCCTTCTCCATGCTTCAGGTCCCTGGGTGGGCCCTGAAGCACAGGCTCAGTGTGCCCGGTTGCGGGAGAGAGGTTCATTCCCCTTCTCCTTGCCTCGGGTCTCTGGAGAGTCCCAAAGGTGCTGACGTGGTGTGCCTGGTTGTGGGAGGGTGGTCTGGTCCCCTTCTCCATGCCCCAGGACCGTGGGTGGGCCCCGAGGCACTGGCTTGGTGTGCCTGGTTGTGGGAGAGAGGTCCAGTCCCCAACTCCATACCCTGGGTTCCTGGGTTGGCCCCGAGGTGCTGGCTCAGTGTGCCTGGTTGTGGGAGGGGGTCCAGTCCCCTTCTCCATGTCCCGGGTCCCTGGGTGGGCCCTGAGGTACAGGCGCAGTGTGCCTGGTTGTGGGAGAGAGGTCCATTCCCCTTCTCCTTGCCTTGGGTCCCCAGACAGGCCCCAAGGTGCTGGCGTGGTGTGCCTTGTTGTGGGAGGGGTGTCCAGTCCTCTTCTCCATTCTTCAGGTCCCCAGGCTGTCCCCAATGCACTGGTACAGTTTGCCTGTAAGTGGGAGTGGGGTCCGGTCCCCAGATCCTAGCCTCCAGTTCCCAGGCCGACCCCACGGTGCTGGTGGTATGCCTGGCCCGGAACTAATTTTTTGTCCTTTGCTTCTAACATGGGGGAACTTCCTGTGGCAACCAGTACTTGAGCTGTGTGGTTGTTTATATTGCTACTCTGCTGCTGTTTCCCTAGGGAAGGCTTTTTGTGCAGCTCAGGGTTTAATGGTTGACCTTATAGGTACTTCCGGCTCTCCAGAGACCCGGTGGATCTGTGTTCTGTAGAATCTCTGATTTGGGCCTGAGTTTTTTCATCAAACTGCACCCCATGCAATTCTGCATTCCTGACCAGTCTCCTCTGAGTGGTCCTGTGCTCATTGGGGGGCAGATCAGCTGTCCTTGCTGTGCCCCAGTGCTCCCCTGGTGGGCACGTCTCCCCCACCACCCGTGCTGCAAACCCTTCCCATGGGATGGGCCATGCGCCAGTCCCTTGCGATGACTCACTGGCTTCCGAGTGGCTCCCTTTTTTCAATTGTTCTGGATCCTCGCTCCTGCGTGGGTCCACGTGAACCCTATTAGTGATCTTGCTGTTCTGGGGGCCGCCAAGGCCCTCTTCTCTCTTGCTGCCTCCAAGTAACTCCATCTGAAGGGCACAGCTGCGGCTTCTGCCGGCTCCTGCTCCGGGCGCTCAGCAGCTTGAGCCTTAAAGCAGCCATGGCCCAAAATGCTCAAAGTAGCTTTTTCTTTCTCTCATCGTAGTTTCTCCTGCCTTCATGAACTCTGTACGTCTCTCCTCCTCTTCCCCTGAGCTCAAGCGGCCCCGGCTTGGCTGATGTTACATTTTTATAGCTGTAAATTGGTTGATTTGTGGGAGAGAGTGACTCTGGGGACTGTATATTCCACCATCTTGATTGGATCTGCCTTATTTCCTTTTCTTATTGCACTCACCATAATCTTTAGTAATATGTTGAAGAGTAGCAGCAACAGTAGTTATTCATATCTTATTCTGCTCTCAAATGGGTCTAATTTTCTACATTAAATATAATGTTTGTTGTAGGTTTTTGTTATATGTCTTTTAAGAAATTAAGAAAGTTTTATTTACAGTCATGCATTGCTTAATGACTGGGATGTGTTCTGAGAAATGCGTCATTAGGTGGTCTCATCTTTGTGTGAACATCATAGAGTGTACTTAACCAAACTTAGGTGGTACAGCCCACTACACGTAGGCTGTATGGTATAGCACGTGGCTCCTAGGCTACAAAGCTGTACAGCATGTTACTGTACTGAATACTGAGGGCGATTTTAACTCAACAGTAAGTATTTGTATACTTAAACATAAAAAAGGTGCAGTGAAAATATGGTATGAAAGATAAAAAATGGTGCACCTGCAAAGGGCATTTACAGAACTGGACATTGCTCTGGTAAGTCATTGAGTGAATGATGAGTGAACATGAGGGCCTAGGACATTACTGTATGATACTGTAGACTTTATAAACACTGTACATTTAGGCTATACTAAATTTATAAAAAAGATTTATTTCTTCAATGATAAATTAACCCTA